TGATCTTCAGATAAAACAGTACCTAACTTTATTGAAAAACAAATGGAACAGATCTTCTCTTCATAACACTTTGAGAGGACTCTGTTATTGTCTCCTCTTTACAGATGAAAAAACGAAAATATACAAGGGTACCTTCCATCACACACCTCACAAATACCAGACCTGCTTGACTGTAAAATCTAACCTACCCAATCTCAAAGCAATAGCTATCAGCTATATCGAACATCAGACTACTGGATATATAGAAATTCATTTTAAATGTTTGAAGGAACCTTAAGTGTTCATTTTTCTCGTAGGAGGTGTTTGGAATCAGCCTAGATTAACTCAAAATCTTAACATTTACTCTCACAGAGTTTTACTAAATTGCACAGTTCTTCACTGTATGGAATGTTCATGCAAATAACTTAACATGGCTTACCTATTGGTTCTCGGTATTGTTTAGTGCCCATGGGTTGAGGCCAGTCTGTTAGAAAACCAATATGGGAGAATAAAAGAAGAATCTCAGTAAGATGGGAAGAACAGGAGGCTATTTAGAACAGCCAAGCATTTGCTTTATTTGATTGTTCACCCCCTATTGCTGTGGATAACTCATTTTTCACTCTGCATGCAGGAGTGAGAGTATGAGTTTGGAAGAGAAGGGCTCAGCTTTAGTAGACTCGCAAGTGAGCAGTCACTGAGAGCGTGTAGGGTTATGTAGTGAGGTAGAGAAATGGAGTTTATCAGTATGAGTGCATTCACAGATAGCTCCTATCTGGAGTGCACTAGATTTTCTTATTCCTCCTGCAGCCTGGAAAACATTGCTATTAAAAATCAAATATCAGTATTTGCCATGGTAAATTTACATAGTATATGTGTATATGTATGCTTATTTATGATGGTTTTGGGACATATCTAACATTATCCAATCACTCAGATTTCACTCTAAAGATGGTTTTTTGAGGGCTACTGCTTACAGAATAACTTACCAATGTCTTTTAGAGGCTCATAATATAAGCCATAGCATTTCTGCTGATGCTGCTCAAAAATCTTATTAGTGTAGAAATAACAAAATGACCGCTTACAGTGGTCACTCCCTTTCTGTGTGGGACTTCTAGAACAGTCTTCTCTTTCTGTAACAATCTGTTTATGTTCACTTCATTTTGCTTTAGTCATTTTATTTTTGTCTCCTTTGGTAGTATCTTGGTGTACTATGATGAAATGAGGCTAAATCAGACAAGCTGTAATTTTTATTGCGAGCATGTCTTGAGGCAAACTTATAAGCAAAACTTGGTAAGAGAAATGACTGGAGGAAACATGCCCTTGTTCTAAATTACAAAATGCTCTACTATTCTAAAATCAAGCACATTGGAAATAAACCGCCATCTTCCTGACACACAGAACTTCACAGAAGCAATCTATTAAAATGTTCCTTTAAAATTTTATGCTGTATAAAACAGTGTCACCAACTTAACTGTATTATAATTCTCTATTCCAATTATAAAACTAATATTTAAAATGAAGCTATGTCCCAGAAACCTGATTAAATATCCTAACTTTTTATTTCAGTTTTCTTGTCATGGATGTTTAAGAGAGACCCTTAATTCTCATGGTATTTAAGTAGTGTGACTATTGAGTAAACTGGATCTATATTTACATGTAAGCATAATGAGATTTCAACCTACACTCTGATCTCACCTCCACCTTTGTTTGATATTACAACTGAAATTGATTGCTTGAACTGCCAAGCAGCGAGTGGCCAATATTATACTGATAGGGTTTATTTGTTTCTTTTTTTTTTTTTCTTTCAAAGAGATTTTTGCTATAGGGCACATGTGCTCACTGGAGAGACAGGAAGACAAAGAGAGAAAAATAACCTCCCTGAGGGATGGCCACATCACAATCCCTTCTCTTCCATTCACCTCTCAGGATCTTACACACACACACACACACACACACACCCAGCATGAGTTCCAAGCCACGAGTCTGACTCTCGAACTGCGGTGACTGTGTGAGAGTCCAGCAAAGTAACTCTTACGCCATCTACTGGTCCCATATTTCTGTCTTTTTTAATGATAAAGAGTATGCATGCACCCAAGAGAGACAGCAGGAAGGAGAAGAGAGAGAGAGAGAGAAAACTCTCTCTACAGAGTCTCATTATATAGCAATTCCCCTTCCCCAGCCCTCCAGCTTTCAAGATCTTGGGGACCCTCTCAAAAAAATATGCAGCATGTTTTCAGGCCAACCCATGGATCTAACCCATGTTTGGCATATGACTTCTAGTACTCCAGTCCAGTACACTATGGACCTCACCACCTGTGGCCTGCTGGGCCCTGATAGGGTTTCTGAAGAACCCTCACATGGACTTTCTCCATCCAGCTATCTTCAGGTTCTATGTGGTGTTTTCACAAGCACCTAACCTTGATTGTATTTATAGAAACTGATCAAATGAGACCTGATGTTATAACTTGTATAGATATATTTCATTTCTTCATTTTATGTTATCACGTTAGAGTATCCCCTAATCATGAGAGATATATTTAAAATGTTAATGTTTTTAATACAGTTTCACCCCTACTACTGGCAACAACAATAAATTGTTGTCTTGAAACACAATTTTTTTGTTTTAATATTACCAAGGTAATGATTGTGTGTCCCAGAAAGTTGCATCCCAGCTACTTGTTGCTCACTTTTCTTCCTGCCTTTGCTCTCAATTATTCATTTATACTGTCACGTTAGTTTACTTGTTTATAAGTGCTAGAATTCGTTCAATCATTATAGGATATTCTAGAGGATTCTTGTCAAATAGTACATTTTTAAGTGTATAGATCTATGCAGCAGTTAGATAGAATGAAAAGGAGTCATCATGGTAGTTCCCATGCAATAAGTAATAGTCACCAGCAACACAACACTCATTAATGGGACAAAGAAACGTGCCAATTTCTGTTAAAGATATTTCATAGTTGAGTCAACTGGACTAGGGAGAAATGTTCACATGTTAAAATATTCACATTGTAAGCTAAATAATGTGATTGACTGTATAAAGGAAAATGAAATTTAAAAACTAAATTAAATAATTTTTTAAAAAATCAATAAAATACAGGTTAAATTTTGCTGAAAGCAGTCACTAGAAATTGACACAAACACTCCTCCCACATACCTGGCTCCTACTTTATTGTTCATAACAAAATTCTGCATGTGATGGAGATCGGCAAAGGGCAGGAATATTCCCAATACCGTTGCCCAGTGTTGGTGTTGGTTGTAAAGATCCTCTGGGAATCATTAGCAAACTTCATCAACCAAAGGTCAGGGTATACATCACATGGGATCCACAGACCGGCTGTTGTGGGCGGTCTTCTTCAAAATATGGTGTCAAGTTTCAAAGCATCTGCTCTGCAGCAGTTAGTCAGTTGCAGTCTGCCAGCATCTGATTTTGAGCAGTATGCCAGAGACATTCTTAAGTGTTAGTCATTAGAGTTGGGAGCTTACCCAAATTCAGTGTGTTCCAGTGGAGTAACTGGTTCTTCACATTCAAAATACAAATGCCTCAGAAACTCAGATTTAAGGAACTCAACCACCAACCTAGAGACGTGTAACCTGGGATACATAGAAACCATCTGTAAATCAGAGATTGATTTGAAAAGGCTATCACTGAAAAAGAGGAAGCTGAAATTATGTTCAACCTTCCAGAAGCATGAAACTTATTCTATTTGAATATAAATAGATCTCTGTCTCTCTCTCTGTGTCTCTTTTTCACACAAACATACACACACACACACACACACACACACACTAGGTCAAATACAGCAAAAGGAACACAGTAATAAGAATTAACATCTTGCAGCAGCAACACTTGAGGATGTTGGGGTGAGACAGACCTACATCTGTGTTCTAGCTCCTTCCTTCGCAGACTGCACCACAGTAAGTCACTTATTCTCTCAGCTTAAGTCTCCTCACCTATAAAGTGTATGAACCAACTTTGAAGGATAGGCATTGCTGTATATTTGCCAGTAGCCTGGCATGGGTCGTAATAGCCAATCAATAAAAAATTACTATTATGAATTCTGATTTTTAGGTGTATATTTGACACATTGTTTATGTAAAATGTAATTATTTTGTATAATATTTAAGCTCTGCTATCTAAAGGAGCATAGGCTTAATGCCTCTAGCATATTTTTTTAAATTAACTACTTAATTATATCTAGCTCTAGTTTAATTATTTTTGCTTTGATGGAATTACTAAAATTTTCCAAGTAATCACATAATCTCCAGAAAAACCATTGCATGGGGCCAGCAGATGGCATAGTGAGTAAGGTGCTGGACTCCCACATGGTCAACCATGGTTTGAGTCACAGGCCTGGCAGCTTGAAAATCAGTTACACATCATGGGTGTGTGCATGCCCAAAATCCCAGGAGAACGAAAAAGAAGGGATTGAGGCTCAGCCAAACCTCTGGGGGGTGATGTCTCACTTTCCCTCTCACTGTTTCTCTGTCTCACTCTGTCTCTCTCTCTGGCAAACACGCATACCCTATGGCAAAAAAAAAAAAAGCATTGCATTACCATTAGAAAATTTCATGTTTTCTTCAATAACTACATTATCGTTTCATAGTTTGTGCAAGTGCCATATACCTTAATAGCAGTTCTATTTATACATATATCTTAATATTAAGAAACCACTAAGCTTCTGCAGCATAATAGGGTAACTACACTTAATAATATTTGTAACTAGGAGAGAGAATTTTAAATGTTCCCCACATAAAATGGTAATAAATGTTCGAGGCGACAGATATACTAATTATCCTGCTTCGGTCATTCCAGATTATATTCACATGTTAAAAAATCACCCTGTATCCCATGAGTATGTACAATTATTATGTGCCAATTAATTAAAAAGATGCAACAATGTTAAGAAAAGCAATTTGATACCTGTCCCCACCACATATTGTCCTGTCTTCTTTTAATTCTTTCCTCTTGAAAACAGTCAATGCAATCTTTGTGTCTCTCTTCTTCCCTCATAACTCAGGTCTCTCCAAGACCTTTCCAAGCAAACAGACATCCCTTATGGCACGGTCCTGGACTCTGCAGTATATGAACATGTCCGCATGAAGGGGCTGAATCCTTTTGAGAGGGACAGCATGTACTCCCAAATGTGGCGGATGATCAACCGAAGCAATGGATCGGAGAACAATGTGCTGGAGTCCCAAGCAGGCATTCAGAAGGTACCGGCCATGGCTCTTCACTGACAGTCTTCACCTTTTCTTCTCCCATGTGCAAACTCCTAAGCTGAGATTTGTTTATTTCTTTTTCCTTTGATTCTGCCATTGAGATTTCAGTTCAATTACACCTCCTATTGATTTAAAAAAGGTTTTGAGGTGCCTCAGTACACCAGTGGAGAGAATTCAGAGTTCTCCCTGGTGTACCTGATCCATCCATTTTCAACGCCATTCCAAAACGAACAAACAAAACACATGCTGGCATTTCCTTCAGAAAAGAGTTAAGGACTTGTAAACATGAAAACTAAAAAAAGTTTTTACAAATCCCATTTCAAATATCACCCAGGTTATCTGATTCTTTTGAATGACTCAGGGTATTTTCTGTACTGCATTTGTTTTTAGATGATAACTTTTATCTTTACTTACGATTGGGTGCCGCTATCTGAAAGTAAAAGTTAATCTTGTCAACAACTAAGGTTTGTGCACATGTCTGTTTCTATTTTCAAATGTAAAAATCTTTATTTACATCTTAGTTTTCTATAACCATCAGTTAGAAGTATCTGCACAAAAAGGCTTAAAAAGGCCTCTTCCTTTATATGAAAAACTTAAAGCTATTTTTTATTCTAGGCAGTTAATAAGTATACAGAAGCAACTCGGGCTCCACTAGTCACTGTGACAGAACTGCCATCTATCTATCATCTATCATCTATCTATCTATCTTGCTTAAAATTATCTTTAGTGGCTAGCCTAGGAAAAATCACTGGCATTAGCATTCAATAAATAATGATGGGATAAATACATGAATTAGTGGCAATAACAGCAGCAATGGTGGAATATGCTTTTTTTCTGATGACCTTCCACAACAGAATACATTGGATTCCCAAATCTTAGTGTCCTGTTCAAAGGATAGACTCAATAATGCCATGCGGGAGAATGTTTTGATGACTGTAAGCATTTTTCTGCCACAGACTCCAGCATTTTTCTCTGCCTTTTCATATGGTGCCCTTTATCTGCTACTGCTGTTACTGTGGCCCCTAGAGTCAGCCTGGTAGTTCTTGCAGGCACCACATTGATACTGTTACGCAGAAAACTGATGGTACTGAGGTAAGCCTCTCTCCAAGTAGGAATGGTGCCTTTAAAGAAGTAAATATCCTTGAGATATGAGCAATGATCTCTAACTCCTTTATCCTCATTGTATTAATCCCAGGGCCAGGTATTTCTCCTAGAATGTTTCTTTCTTACTTTTCTTAAGAGGACTGTTGGCTCCTGAAGTTCAATATAATGTCCTCTGGTTAGTGGAGTTCAGGGACAGAAGAAGTGGATCAGGTATGTGAGTGAACATGTGTAACACGTGTGTGCGTGGGAGAAGGAATGAGGGTTGATAATTTAGCATTTACTAGGTACTCATAGGATGTAAATAAATTTGAGCTCTAGAATATGATTTGGGGAAGAGTTATTTTCCTTTATATTATCTACTATTAAAAATAACTTTGCTTTCTTGAGGATTAGTATAAATATTGGGTCGTTAGAAAAGTCATGATATATTTTTTCTTTCTTTTTCAGTGTAAAAATGCATGATGACTTTTGCTACAACCCAATAGAAATTCATAGTTTCTATTTCTATTCTACTCTAAAAGCCAAAGTTCTCCACACCTTACGGCCTCTATCTATACAATGTCATTCCAGATGACATCTATATTCCAAATTAAATATTTGTTTTAAAAAAGCATACGTATTCACTCGTTTGGTAATTTATTTATTCATTGAATATTTGCTAAGTGTCACTTATGTACCAGGCACTGATCTAGAAACCAAAGATAAACTCAGCAATAGAGAAATGGTCAGTGTATCCATGAAAGGCAGAGTTTGGTGACAAAAACAGAAAAGGAAAATGAAGCACATGATTACACAAAAGTATTTAAATTATGATAAATGTTATGAAATGAAAAAACAGTATGCTATTATACAGATAAACAACTAAGTGTACTTGAAATATAGTGCTCAGGTGAGGTTTTTTGAGAAGATAAAATATGCACTATGGTCTCCCCAAGTGGGAGCTGGCTGAGTGTTGATAGAAGAGAGAGTGAAAGAGCATCCAGACAAGGAACACCATAGGCAACAGCCTGAGGTGTGTTTCAGACACTCATTTCAAATCATCGTGTCTGGCCCAAAGGAATCGAAAGCAGGATCTCACAGAGTTATCTTTACCTTCATGTTTGTAGCAGCATTATTCACTATAGCCAAGAGGTAGAAGCAACCCACGTATCTATCAATGATGAACAGATAAAATGTGGTATATACACACAATGGAATATTGCACAACCTGTAAATGGAAAGAAACGATGACACGTGCTACATGGGTGAACCTTGAAGACATCACCCTAAGTGAAATAAAACCATGACAAAAGGAAACTACTGTATGATACCACGTATATGAAGTACCTAGAACTGCCCAATTCATAGAAATGAAAATTAGAATGGTGGTTTTCAGAATGTGAGGAGAGTGAGAAATGGGATGCTATTAAGTGGACAGAATTTTAGTTCCACAAGATAAAGGAAAGTTATATAGGGATGGAGGCATGGTGGTTATAGTGCTGGATTCCCTTAAACAATACTGAAAACCTAGAAGATATATATAATATATATGCATATGTGTATATATTATATATATCTTAAAAATGTATACATACATATATATGTTATATATATATGTGGCATAGTGGTTAAAGGCGCTAGACTCCCACATGGCCAACCACAATTCAAGTCCTGGACCTGGCACCTTGCTTTCCCACTTTCTCTCTTTCACTCTCTGTCACCGTCCTCTGATGAGTGCATGCTCCCTATGGCAAATTGAAGAGTAATGATAAGAATAAGTACAGTTAAATAAATAATTCTTTGAAAAAAAGAAAGAAAGAAAGAAAATCACACTGAGTGTGTGCATGCATGCCCAAAATCCCAAGATTTGGAGATTGTGGCGTGGTCATCCCCCTTGGAAGGTGATCTCTCACTTTCTCTCTCTCTGTCTCTCTCCAGCAAGTGCACATGCCCTATGGCAAAAACACAAAAAGAAAAAAAGTGTTTTTAAGGTATATATAATATATATGCATATATAAATATATATGTGTGTATATGCTTTTAAGATATATATAATATATGCATAAATGCATATATATTATATATATCTTCTAGGTTTTCAGTATTATTTAAGAAAATCTCTCCTTTTCCTAATATATATGTGATCTCACATTTTCTGGGCTTTAAAATTCTTTATCTTAACCTTTGTCTTTTAGTCATATGACATTTAATTTGGCATTTGTGTATATGCTGAAAGGAATTTTGCCAACTGAAAAAATTCCAGCCCAAGAATCTTCAAAATTAAGGGGTTCTGAATTAGGCTACTGATAATTTGGCAGCAGGTGCTGAGCAGCCAAGTTTATTCTTTAGGTGTTGCTTTTTGTTTTTCTTTAACTATGTGTATTTGCTCACCTTTCAACTCGGGATAGTGTTTCTTACAGTGCTGTTAAATGTCACTCATTCAAAAAAAAAAAAAAGTTATATTATGAAAAGAACTCTGGTCCTAGAGACAAACTACCTGGTTTTCTGTCCTGGTTCTTTGAGATCATAGCTGTGCAACTTTGGGTAAATCACTTGGCTTCTCTGAGCCTCAACCTACTCATTGGTAAAATGTAGTATAGGAATGAAAAGCACGGGCTTGCCAGGCAAGTCCATCTGAGTTTGAATCTAGCTCACTTTTTTAACAATAAAATCTGTAGACATGACTGGTTGCTTAACAATCTCTAGGCCTCAAGAGTTGTATCATGAGGATAATGGTTTTCTATCTCATGTGGTTTTTGTCAAGAGTAAATAAAATTATTGGGAACCAGCAGTTAGCGTAATGGCTATGGACTCCCACATAGTTGACCGCGGTTCGTGTCCCGGACCTGGTGGCTTAAAACTCACGCCGGGCACGTGTGCGTGCGTGCCCAAGATCCCGAGAGGAGAATGGAGGAGAAGGGACTGCGGCGTGACCATCCCCCCTGGGGGGTGATTTCTCGCTTTCTGTCTCTATGTCTCTCTCTGTCTGTCTGGTGAGCGCACGCGCCCTACAGTGAAAATCTCTCCAAAAAAAAAAAAAGAGTAAATAAAATTATCTATGTAAAGCATCAATAAATAGTATGATTATAGCCATAAACCTATCTCAAAAGTAGTCCTGACGATTCCCAGAGAGAATGTAAATGTGAAGGATTTACAACTGCAGAGCTTTTTCGTTCAGTATTTTCTTACATTAACCTAAATTTGTGACATAATAAAAAGAAAATGCAATGAAAGAAGAAGAGAACAATTTCTATTCCCTGACAGTCTGCCGATAAGGAGGGCTAATGAGTTTAAAACTGCAAATAAAGTCCTCAAATATTTATTACACCATATTTATTCAGTTTTCTGATTTACTAAAGGGGCCAGTGGAGAACGCCCTTATGAATATATATTAGAAAATACCTAAGTAAATTTTGTTCGTAAAATATATTTCTTTCAACCCAAATCAGAGACAGCTGAAGGTTGATTGAACAGAGGATAATAACAATAAAGTTTACCTGGTTCCATTTGCAAGGTCTCAGCCAGCTTCTATTTAAAAAAAAAAAAAAAAAAAAAAAAAAACAATACTCACATGTAAAAGAAGGAGTTTTGGGAGCCAGCAGCTGGCATGATGGTTAAGGCACTGGACTCCCACATGGCCAACCATGGTTCAAGTCCCAGACATGGTTGCTTGCTTTCTGACTTTTCCTCTCTCTGTGTCTCTTTGGTGAGTGCACATGCCCTATAGCAAATTAAAAATAATAATAATAAATAAAATAAATAGCTCTTAAAGAAAAAAAGTATCAAGACTCATCAGATAATGTGGTGGTTAGGCAGCTGGATCCCACGTGGCCAAGTAAGCTGTTTGAGTCCTGGATCCAGCTGCTCGAGAAACACCCTGGATGTGTGTGCAGGCATGCCCAAAATCCTAA